AATGCGGCCCCCGCATAAATATGCGGACTTTGGCTGATTTTGCATTGAATTCAGCGATCGCATAATCGCGTTTTTCTGGAGGGACTGACTAGAGGTAAAACAGCAATCGTTTTCACAATTATGATTACAGGGGCATATTATAAATTAATAAAGACTTGTTCTCACGTGGTTCCTTGCACAATTATGTTATGACCTTAAAACACTTTTTACCATAGTGTAAGATTGTAAACTAATATATTTTGGAGTGTGTATCTTTAAGCAGCTCCAAATGTTCGGTTTTACTGATGTACAGTTTTCTCTGTAGATTAGCTGGTACTTAATTGTATTTGTGATAAGGAGAGCTTGAGTACCGTAAAAAAAAAAGTCCTGTAAAAGATGGTTCATGATAAAAGAGCTCAAAGACAAGAGTTCAGAAACAAGCTAAAATGCCATTGTTTCAATTGTGTTTTTATGTCACGTTTGCTTTTGTAAACATTATCAGGTAGGTTAAGGTTTAAGGGCCGTACACACCGGGACGAATATCAGGGGACGTTATTCGCCTGCATTTTTCAATGCATTTTTTTGTGTTCACACCCAATCGTTTTTCTCTGACAATGAGCCGAGTGAACATGCAAATTCATCCCCTGACATTAGATGGCGCCCATTTGCTCTGCAATACCACTCCATAACAGTTCTCTTTTATCAAGATGTTTGTAGTCACTGTCGTGTTTGTCATATTCTTTATGTTCTAACACCAATGAGACCAGCAGCTCTACATTCATCTTGCCCTGCATCTTCCTCGTCTTTTTTCTTCCTGGCAGAGTAGACGGCGATGCTACTTAAGGCCTCATTATGCTTCTGCGTCAACTCTACGGCGAAGCTACGTCGTTACTACTACGGCGTCGTGGCTGTTTTATGCTTCTGCCTGAGGCTGTGGTGCTTCGCGGTGCAATGATGATTTCTTATCAAACTTGTATATTTAAGTTCAGTAATTTCACTTAAATAACAATTAATAGGTAGTTATCATTGCCATTTAAGTGAAATCACTGAACTTAAATATACAAGCTTGATAAAAATCATCATTAAAGAGGAAAATTTCAAATGGCATTTAGAGGCTTTTGCATCTGAACTCTTCAAATATAGAAGGGGCCAGCATACTCTGATCTACTGGCCCCAGGGGCCAGTGGGGGATTTTTTTAAATTTTTTTTTTTATGTTGAGCCCTGTACCAACTTTTGTTACATCAGATCATTCACTCTAGACATCGGCTAATGTACATTACATACATGCACTGTTAATGATACAGCTTTCACGTATTCACCACAATAGATTAGACAAATACTCTGTAAATAAATTAGTACTTGTAAATTAATTGGTTTGTTGATGGACATGCACTTGTTAATGCTGATGGTGATGAATTACAGTTGCAACATCTTATAATGTTCCTCAAACTGACTGAGTAGTGTATCACGGTTGGGGTTGAATTACCAGCTCGGATTTACGGATTTTTCGCATTAATATGGTAAAATCGACATCATTGTTCGTTACTGTGTTTAGTTTAAAGTATAGGAAGCTTCAGGACAAACAGAGCTGATGTTGTCATGGCAATGGGCGGTTTTATTTTCTACGGGCTGTACACGGTAGGCCAATCACAACAGACTGAGCTGTCTGGCCAATCAGAACAGAGTAGCTCGAGGAAAGGAGGGATTTAGAGGGATTGATTCATTTGAGAATCATTGGAAATGTGTATTATGAGGAAATTAAACTTTTTTTTTTTTTTTACTTTGATGCATGTAAACATGTTGTAGGAGACTCCACAACAACATTAGGAAACATTAAAATAGCATAATAGGGGCCCTTTAACAGCTCTTTGGAAAACAGCAGCATGAACATTGTATTTAATGTCACCTTTTGTGTTGCCCAGAAGGAAGTGATTTACGTATGTATGGAACAACATGCGGCTGATTAAATGATGACAAACAGAAGCATTTTCATTTGTGATCTCAGACTTTTGGACCTTACGTATGCACATACAGTACAGACAATGACAAACAATGACATCTCGTGGAAAAAAAACAAACAAAAAAAAAACTGTAAAAACCAGCAAACAAACACATCCTCTTATCTTGGGTCTACATTTAATTGTTTCTTTCCACTATTTGTGAGCTCAATAAGCAATGTCCACTCTAGCAATTGCAGCCACCTCTTTCCATTCCCACACCCACATGACAATAGGCTGACTAAATTGATTGCATTGTAAACTAGTGAACTTAATGAAAAATCTCTTATCAGGGCCAATGCACTTGCCAGCGGGAACCACGCACTCTTAATATAGCAATTAAGTTTTTGCAAATGAATTATTCCCAGCAATATTTTCTCCCATTAGCACATTACTACATCCATTATGTCTGATGGCAGGAATGCTGATGCTGAGGCCACTTCCTCTCTCAGTGTTGCAGAGTAAGAAAAAAGCCTGCCCAAATTAACACAATGTGAGATTAATTAGTTAAATGTAGTCCTAAACACACATAATGAAAAAGGTTTGTAACCGAAGCAAACATCCTCAAGCATCCTCAATCAGATATATCCAAACATGGGCCAGGAAAAATTGCAAAAAATATACACTGGTGAGTCAAAACATTGACCAGTCACAAGTGAAGCAAATATCGTTGATCATCTCCTAACAAGGCCACCCCACCCAGCAAAAACTCGTTGAAAAGACGTTGAAAAGACGACATTGCTAGACGTCTAAACTACGTTAAAATTTGGTTGAAAAGTGAAAGGTGAAAAGCCGTCTTTTTCAGGTCGTTGAAAAGACGTCTTTTTCGGGTCGTTGAAAAGACGTCTTTTTCTGGTAGTTGTAGTCTATAAAAGGACGTCCCATTCACGTTTAAATTAGGTTGTAAAGTGAAAGTTGAAAAGACGTCTTTTTTTAGGCATAATTTTCATGGATTCATGATTATATTTAATATTCCTAATTACTGTCAAAATAAGACAATTCACAAAAGTTTATCAAAACATTTATTGACACATAAAATACATCTTTCAAGTAAAAACTTCCCTGATCACACATCAAGCCCACATTTGATCAAATATAGCCTAAACACTGCAATATTGTGAAATATTACCACAATAAAAATAACTTCTCTATAAATTTATAAATAAATATACATATAAATATATAATAAAGTGTCATTTATTCCTGTGATGGCCAAGCTGAATTTTCAGCATCATTACTTCAGTCTTCAGTGCCACAAGATCATTCAGAAATCATTCTAATATGGTGATTTGATTCTCAAGAAACATTTATGATTATTATCAGTAGTACTGCTTCATGTTTTTTTTTGGAAAATGATTCAGCTTTCAGTATTCTTTGAAAATAACTTTCAAAAGAGCAGCATTTATTTGAAACAATTTTTCAAAAACAATTTAAAAGACTTTAACTGTGACTTGATCAAATGAATCCATCTTTTCTGTATAAACATCATTTTATCATTTATTGATAAACATCAAAACAATAAATCTTTAAAACATTGAAAATGTTTATAAAACAGACTAATTATAACCACATTAGAAAACATTAAAGGTATAGTTTACACAAAAATGTAATTGTCATTAATTACTTACTCTCATGTCGCTCCAAACCCATAAGACTTTTGAATATATTTTTAACAGATGCCTTGTGTGTGCAAAAAACAAAACAAAATTATGTATCGCCGATACAGGTTGCACCATGAGATGACTGACTCTCACGCCAACACAACACTGATGAATCGTGGTGCTCTGTGAACACGTGTTCAGCATTCACATCGCTTCATAATGTTGAGGTTAAACCATTGGAGAGAAAGTTATCATGAGCATTGTAATGTTTGAAACGGATGTCATAACAAATGTCAGTAGAACGGGATGATTTTAAAACAAGTGGTTCATTAATTAATCCGTACGATTTTAATAGAGTGTTTTCACTACACGTCATCAATCCGGAAGTCGGTCATTTTGGAGGCACTGAACGTAAACAATGCCACTGAACTGAACAGACTTGCATATTTGGCTGATTATTGCTGCTGAAAAATGGTCGTGTTTTGGTCTGTACTAATAGGTCACACCGGGAAAAAAAACATTTCAAGTTCTATAGACTGCCTAAAGTTAAAGAGAAGATTGCAAAAAATGGATGAAAGAAAGTGTTTGTGATGAAGGTGTTTGTAGTTGAGAGGCAAAGCATCAGCCACATGTGTAAATGAAGCGTTGACTATGGCTAAAATGTTAAAGTAAAGTAGTTAACTATGGCTACATTCACACGGTCAGTCCAAATCTGATGTATCTTTGTATCCGATTGGGATCTGATCTAAAATGATGTCTACACTATGTCTCGCAACTGTTCAGATCCGAGTCGTGTGTTCATGCAGCTCTTTGGAAATATGGCAATGACATTGCGTTGATGGAGGGGTTTGCATTTGCAATAGAGATGTTGTCTTATTTAAATTTTACAACATGGAAATGTGTAGCCGCCGTGCTGGACTGGTGTTTTGAGCTGCAGAACTAGAGGAGGCTGGTGTGCACAGCTTTTTTCCGTGCTCGTATCTGCGCCGGTTTCAAATATAAAGCGCTTGTCCGGCACTTTGCAACAACACAGCCTTGTTTCGGCAGCGACTTTTAGCATGTTCCCTATTACAATGTCTGACTTTAAAATTTGCGTGGCGTGAGAAAGTCACATACCACGCGAAATCTGATCAGAGCGTTCGGACTGAAGCAGATTTCCAGATATGTGATTTAATAGGATTGTGGACATATGGATGTAGCTTGAAACGGATTTCATGTGCTTTTTTTGGACTGACAATCTGAACGTAGCCTATGTGGGATAAGAAATAGAAGGATGAATAGCAGTAAGGGCTAGAGAAACTAGCTCGTTCAGATCTTTACCAGATATTAACTTTAGTTCGTCAAAAATCCACGCTCTTTCCTGCTTACTAAGTCTAGCCTATATGATTTTGCAGCTTCCATGTGTTTTTTTTCGTAGTTAAGACATCATAAATTAGTGTAACAATGTGTTCAGTAGTACATAAACAGTGCAATCAATGCTGTTGTTTACATCCGAGTATCTCGAATATAGCCGCGCATCCGGGTAACTGGCCAAATCGTGACGTGGGTGCAAACCCTCTATTGATTATTTTTATAATGTCTTACGTTTCTGAAGCTTGAAAGTGGTAGTTGCATAAACTGTGAAATTGAGGGACAGAAACCTCTCAGATTTCATTAAAAATATCTTTCAAAGATGAACGAAAGTCTTACAGGTTTGCAACGACATGAAGGTGAGTGACGAACATTTTTGGTTAAATTCTACACATTAAATCAGTTCCCTCAGAGGCACCAACAGATATCTTCCTGATCTCCGATCTTCTGGTTCTTCTGCTCCTTCCACCATCCCAACCCCGGATTATTAAGCCACGACTTAAGTTTTTACTTGAAATGCTTTAGCCTGGTGAGAAAGAAAACAATAACCAAAATGTACATTTAAAAAAACAAAAAAAACAATGGCTGTCCGAAACGTAAAGTATACACTTGAGTTTTTCCTATACATATACGTGCAAGATTTCAGTCACAGATAAATTGTAAATGTTTGCTTGATCAGACATTACATGTTTATGCTGAAATATAATATTGTTTTTTGTTTTAAAATCATCTAGTTCTAGTAATCAGGGTAGTTCACTTTGAAATTAATTTTTGGTATGTTTTAGCCTACCTCAAGTGCATCCAAGATGTAGGTGTCTTTGTTTCCGCAGTAGTTTCAATTTTTATATTTTTAGGTCATTTTTAGTTGCAGGTCTATGGTCACCACCTAATAGAGCATGCACAGAGAAGTCCAAATTAAACATGATTTAATGACTCGTATATGTACACATTGATGGCCTAAGACACGAAACGAGCAGATTGTGAGAAAACGAACAGTATTTATATCATTTTTACCTCTTGTAACCACAGCCACGTCCAAGTGATGTGAAGGCGCAGGCTCTTCGGTCTGCGCAAGCGCCGGAAAGCGCCGAAAGTGATCTCTAATTGTTTACACAGAGATTTCGGAAGTGTTACCTTTCACTGTGAAGATCTATTTAGATATAGAGGAAATCGCAATGGAAGACGATTTCGATATATCAACAGACAACGTTGAATAAGTACCATTTCAATTAGCCGTCTTACCTACAATCTCTGTTCTGTGTAAACAATGAGTGACGTACACGTGCGAGAGAGATCACTTCCGGCACTTTCCCGACACTTTCGCAGACCGAAGAGCCCACGCCCTCAGATCACTTGGACGTGGCTGTGGTTACAGATAAAAACGATATAAATACTGTTCATTTTCTCACACAAACCGCTCGTTTCGTGTCTTTAAGCCATCAATGTGTACTTAATTTACGAGTCATTAAATCATGTTTAATTTGGACTTCTCTGTGCATGCTCTTTGAGGTGGTGACCAGAGACCTGCATTATATGCCTGACCGACAAGAACGGTTTGACCTAAAAAAATCGAAATTGAAAATACTGTGGAAACAAAGACACCTAGGCTACATCTTGGATGCCCTCGAGATAAGCTAAAACATACCAAAAATGTATTTAAAAAATGAACAATCCCTTTAACCACTGACTACTGAGCTAGGGACCTGAGTGATAAGCACCCAGAGTTTAACACCTTGATTAGCTTGTTCAGGTGTGCTGGACTAGGTTAGAGGAAAACTTTGTTCTGAACATGACACATCAGAGATGCAGGATGACTGCTAGATTGATGACTTACAACAGTGGCATCCAGACCAGACCAGGGCCAGTGTTCTGCAGAGTTTCTGGTGATGTTTAGTCAGCTGCTCAGGTCTGATTAATTGGGGTTGGAGCTAACAATACTGAAAAGAGAAAGAAGACAACTGATATTATTAAGTTACATTATAAATAATTGGGGTTGGAGCTAACAATACTGAAAAGAGAAAGACACCAATATTATTACGTTATAAATAATTTGTTCTGTGTGTTCATTACCTGTACAAAGAATACGTCATCAATAAACTGTATTAATAACACTGTTTTGACGATTAGCTAGCTTAATTCCATTCATCCATTGACCAATTGCCAACAAAACCTTTACAAAACTATCAAAATAAATATCTAATCTACACATACAGTAAGATACGATTAAAAGCCCAAACTTACTGCTCAAGTCTAACGTTATAGTTAACCTAACTTACCTATAGTTAGCCTAACAGTTGAGATGCTAACGGACTTTTTCTAAGACACTAACCAAGCAAATATTCAACGGAAGTGAGTCTTTTACATAAAAGAAATTGTCGGAAACATTTTTATGTACTATTTGTGTAATTTTAGGGACTAAACTTACCTGAAAGTAGTGAAAACAACAGCGAGAGATGGAGCTGTGCTGATCGTTGTCAGTTGAGCTACCGCCCGGTTTCCATGGTAACGTTGTCTGCTCCAGTTCAAATGCGGCTCGAATGTTCAGCGCGTGCGCCCATTGATTAAAACACGCAGAGTTACGCAGCATTGAGATGGAGTGAATTATTTGACAATCAGCTGAAACTTGATGCATTATTAAGTGGATAGTAGGCCTGTGGCCATCGTCAAACTATAAAACAATGTTTTAAGTCATGTAGGCTAATAGTCTAATAATATAATATAGCTTTAAAAAATGGTAAACGTGCTGTAGATTGTTTTTTTTTTTTTTTTTTTTTTGCAAAAACATTGATTAAAACCTACATAAGGCATGCACATATTTCCTCATATAGCCTACACAGATTACAGATGAAACATGAGGAACAATTATAAACTATTCTATGTATTTTTTAAATACATTCAAGTCCGCAGGCCAAGCGTTCTGGTTTGGAGGAAAATGCTTAATGTGTAGGCTAATTAAACGCGTTGCATTCATATTCTGGGCTCATCTGATTTTTTTGTACACAGCCTTTATTATGATTTTAGGCCTATCATAACGATTAATAAATGCACGCACAATTATCCGTGAACTTGATAAATGTTGCAGATATGTTTTACTATGCACAAAAAATGCCTTTCAACTTACCACAACTCAGCATGTCTCAAAGACATGAGACATATCTATAGAGAGCTGGAAATATCTTTAAACAAAACAATTCAAAACGAAAAGAAATAGGTACTCTCTGATTATGTAATCATTTTGTGCATTTCTCTCTCAAGGCGCGTTCGCTGCGGAGATGGAGATCTTCAACTTCATCTTTTGCAGCGGACACAGAAAACAGTTTATTAATAAAAATAAAATGCAATAAAAATCAATGCACGCGTGTCACCGGATTTACAAATGCACATCTTGCTTGTTGCACGCACACATATTATGTCGAAATAACAAGATATTGTGTGGAAATTACATTATTATTAATAGGCTACATAAGAATATTTGATTGAATGTTGAATGTTGTGCTTATTTTAATTTAAATTAAAACCTGAATTGTGATAATTACAATAATTGAATATGATATATTGAGTGGCTAAGTTTTGCTCATTTATTAAAAGTAGCCTTTTTATATAATTGTGAAGCTCCCCTGTCAATGATAGCACCCCTTCAGCACCTGTTAAAAATGATCTGGCGCTGCCCTCAGACCGACCAAACAAAGGAGGCTACATTTTTCAAAGTCTTTTGGGCTAAATTTGGACCAAACCAAACGGACCAAATAGAGACCAGTTTTCAACGTCTATTTTCGGGCTAAATTTTGACCAAATCAGACGGACCAAACAAAGACCAATTTTCAACGTCTATGTTTGGGCTAAATTTGGACCAAATCGGACGGACCAAACAAAGCCCAATTTTCAACGTCTATTTTTGGGCTAAATGAAGGCTATGACGGGCCGACTTGATTTAGCCCAAAAAACAACGTCTTAATGACGTCTGGTGCTGGGTGGGACATATTAAGGTCTGGGTATATTAGATGGTGATTCACATAATCAACATGTTGGATACAGGCATAGGCGGAAATCGCGGGGGGGGTCGGGGGGGTCAGGACCCCCCCTATCTGAAGATCGTCCCCCCCAAAAAAAACCATTAAAATATGTGTATTGTAAATAATGTAATGATATATTCTTAAAATAATTAAGAAATAAAATAACACAAATGCAAACGGGGCAATTACGAAAAAAGCGTTCTAAACATTTTGAGACCCCCCTCCCTTGCCTCACAGTGCGTTGGTCCACCGCCTCCGTCCCTTTTACCTCAGACGCCTCCGTCCCTTTTACCTCAGACACACAGATTCCGGTAGCGGGAGAGAAAAACATAGTTGTGGAACTCCAGTAAAGGGGTCGCACACCGGACGAGAAGTGTAGTGGCGCGTCGCGCAGCGCCACGTCTTTAAAATTCGAACACATTATTTATTCTCTATGAGTGTACACACACCGGCGGCGCCGTTCGGCGTCTGTCCACGGCGCCCAGCGACGGCTCAGGACCGTGTTCAAAATCCTGCTGCGCCACAGAGCGCCATTTACATAGTTTTATATACAATTTAAATTATTTTTGTCTCAAATCGGTGCTGATGGATGCTGACTTCGCCCTATGCTGCAATATACATTTAGTTTTGCATTCATTTACAGAAATCCGCTGCTTGAATGACAATTGCTGATGTTATTGGATTTTTCAGGTGAGATTCTCAATTCATTCAGTGAACGGATGATCTGAGGTAAAGTTTTCAGACCGCAGACTCAGCAACGATTGTATTTAATTGTACATAACAATAATAACAGACACTATCTTCATGTCATTAAACATTACAATATTGCTGGCCACTGATGAGAAAGTCCGGGTGCGCTGTGCATTTAGATTCTAACGCTTTCACTGTGATTTAGTTGGTTTATATCATTTAATATAGTTAAAGAATTAGTCAATGAATGAAATGAAATCGCTGCTCTGCGTGAGGAGAGTATGTAAACAGATTCACCGCTGGCTTAAACCAGAAAGAAATTTAAAGAAGTATAATGAAATGGTCTCCATGCTACACTAATAATAGTAGTAAGGCTTTCCTCTGTATTTTTTTGCCTGTATTATTGGTGTCCCCTTCAAAATTTGCTCTTGAGAATTGTTATGTTTATTGTCCCCCCCCAACATTTTGATGAAATTTTCGCCCCTGGATACAGGAGAAATGGGCAACCAGACTCAAAGGTAAATGTTAATTATAAATGAAAAAATAAATGAATTGAATCTTTTCACAAATAAAATAATATGAATAAACAAATAAACCGCAATAATAAACTGTAGTTCAGTTTACAATTGACACTTTAGAAGGAAGAGAAACAAAACAAAAACCCTGCAAAAGAACACGCTGTGCTTTTCAGAACAATGAGCTTTGTTAAAATCGACAGGTTTCTGAAAGGTGGAGTTTAGAGAAGCAACAATAATGTACAGTATGTGTAAAATAAAGACTTTTTTTAACCAAAAACCATGTAAACACTTTGCATTAAACCAAATATACAAAATAAAAGTTCTTTTTAGAACCATCATGACCCCTTTAACATTGATCAGAACTCGTTTGAGAGGGTTGCTCTTTACTGTTTCACTGTGGTGAGGGCACAGCTGTATTACGAAGGATGGATAGGTTAAACTATAATTGACACCTGTCAAATTATAATACAGTGTTTCACATACATTTGTTTACTATATCAACACAGCCTTTTGGAAAATCTATTTGTTGTTGGCATTGACATAGTTGAATAAGCATGGGCACTGCCAACACAGTCTCATGAAGATGCGTATCTATACCACGAGTGTCATTTCTCGTGGCATTTATACGCCAAAAGTGTTTTTTTCGTGTATATGGTACGCACTAAAAAACCCTGGGTTAGGTTTAGGGGGGAGGGGGGTGGGTAGTGTGTGCGTATTATACGCAAAAAAGTGCGTATCATATGTACGCGAAAATCGCGTGCCAAATACACGCAAAATGCGGCATGGATGTATTTTTATTTAGCACAGAAGGGGCTTAAAGGCTGCAGTTCTTAACAAAGGCTCCAGTTAGTTAAAATGTTTATGCATGTCAAAACAATGACATATTTAGTGATTAGCATGGGTTTGATTCTGAGGATTTTTTCTTGTAATTATGACCAAGTATCTGATCCGGAGAAACTTTATTGTAGTATCTCATAAAATTGAAACCTTTTCATTCTGATTAAAATGATTGTGATTTTAACAGTAAAAGACTGTAAAAATGCTACAGTGAAAAACTGTTAATTGGTTAACAGAACCTTTCCTTACTATATACGGTAAATAACTGTGATGGATCTTATGGTAAATTTCATGTAATTTTACTGTAAAATACTGTTAAATTTACAGTTTTTAAAGTGAAAATGAACAACTCATCGTATAATTTAGTGAAAAACGTAAATTGACATTCCCAGCGTGACACTCCACACTTCATAGTTTCTTCATAGTTTGCTTAGTCTTTCTAATCAGTTAGGTACATTTGGGTTTTATGTGACATTTAATGTTGTTACATTAATATTTATTGCCTTTTTAAAATTTCATGTGTGTTACCATGATGGTGTTTAATGTTTAAATGAATCACACTGTGCCGCTTCCATATGTTAATATTAAGTTTCTTGTGAAAGAGAGTTTCCATAAATCATGTGACTATTATTACTGCTGTGATTGATGGATGTCAGTATATTACAATTGTATAAAACAGATATTAACACCCCAAATGGTCAATAATTTAACAGTATATCAGGTAATTAAATATGGTTTATTTCCGTAAATTTTAAGTTAAGCCTGTAAAACCTTATTACCGTAAATTCTTGCTACGGTAAATTTCTGGCAACCACAGCTGCCGGTATTTTACCGTAAATTGAACACATTTTTTTTTTTACAGTGATGTTATAATATTGAGATATCTTATTGTATGTGTCTTACTGTCTTCAATTGCATTGTAGTATGACATTGATCTCGCAAATAAAAAGTAGCTCTACTGAAACTGATAAATTGTTCAGAGAAGAACAGAATCATATAACTTTCTAACATATTTACTCATTTTAAATAGAGATGTCTCCAAATCCATGTCATTTCCATTTTATGACCAAATAGATTGCATAAGAATTGTTCCAGAACAAAGTCACTTATTTGTCAACTGTTGTGAAGTGTAGACACCATCAATCAAGTTATTGATTTTTGCTGCTTGGTCCAAAGTTGACACAATTCGAGTTGTGACGGGTTCTTCATGCAGAAATTTCACCATGTCTGACATCAACATCTCTATTGCAAGATGCGATTTCAGCTTTTTAGGCAATCCTTAAACTATATGACTGCTTTAAATAACAGTGTGAGGCATAAGAGTTTCATAATATTAAATGATAATATGGGAAAATATAACTTTCTTATGAAATGATTGATTTTCTCGAAATCTATTGATGATTTATAGATGAAATAAATTAATAATGATCATGGAGCACCTATTGAGCAAAGATGGCAGATTTTAAATCACAGATCTGGAGAGTCCTGCGCCAGATGAGTTAGTGCCATTGAGATGAATGCGAATGCTAACGGATAGCTTTCTCCAGGTATTATAGAGCTCTTGGCACACACAGAGAATAAAAGAGTGTGTCAGATGAATAGTAAGAGAGGACTGAAGCATTGCTTTCCATTTTCACCCTTCACACAGAGTAAATGGTGGGCAAACCCTGAAAAATGTATGTAGAACGGAACTGAGCATGTAGTTGATTAAATGTATCACAGCCATTTACCCATGCTGACTCTCTATCCTTGAATGATTAAAAGTTCCTTAAACTCCCCTGGCAAGTAAAATGTATTTTTGTTTTGACAAAAGGTGAAATGAAAACCTCAAGGCGTCATTAGACAGTAGAAACAAAGAGTGAATGAATATAATGGAATGTCTAAAAAATTGTCAATGTGACAACCAACAATGAGATCATATTCAGCGGCCACATAAACGGCAGTAACCTTCAAGCGTTGAGAGCTGTGGTTGAGAATAATGAAACCGTAGTTCATTCTCACCATTTTTTTCTGCATGTTTAAACACCAGAAAAGATGTAGAGAAAACAGCCTTGACTCAAACATTTATATACATGGGTGTATTTTTAAACAGTTGCAAATAAAGCTCCAAATACACATTTATGATATGGCAGTACCAAAGTATTGAATGATTACTATGTGCCATGCTTTTTTCATAGTACCCAAAGATGGCAAAACAAGAAAAACAAAACTAGTCACACTTATTTACAAATTAATAAATACATAATACAAAAAAACAACAAGCGAAGTAAAGTCACCTATATATTTTTTTAAATGTGTTTTGATACATTTTCATAGGAAAATGTATCAAACAGTTTGCATTCATTCACAAGCTGCACTTTAAAGAAGTCGATGGCATACGATGGGACTCTTTTGCATATCTTATTTTGAGTGGCTAGTGTTCAGGTGTTGTTCTCAATTGGACAAGTTTACAGAAGTTTAATGTAAGTCTTGTTTCCATGCATTGTTCACAAGGCCTTTGAATCAGCCATGCTCAGTTTATTTTTTTATTTATTGTATTTCCATGGTTCCTGTTTTCTTTTCAGATTTTATTTAAACATTTATTTATTTTTTTCCACAACAGGTCCATTAATGTCAAATGCGATTGTATAAATGTGGAGCCTTTTCAAACAACAGCCTTGAGCAACAAACAAAGTGTCTTCATTCTCTCTGTGTGCTTGGTTCAAAGAGAGAGCACTTATCCACTTAACATGGTGTAAACACATGCATACAAACAGACACTTTCCAAACCACATGTAACACATTCACAATGGCATTTGAAGACAGGCACATATCCATGGTTCTAAAAGAGTTTGGTTTATAGTCAAAACCCGCAAGATAATTTTTTTTTATTATTATTATTATTTTTTACTGAGTTTTGAATCAGCTCTAAGGTTA